GCTCCATTATCTTCGGGCTGTCACGGCTTTAGAGGATTACACGTCGATTACGAGGTTCAATTTTAAACTGTCCGTCTCCCTCCTACCCCGACCCAGCAACCCTTTGCGGGTTACTCCATGGTTTTACAATCAGTCACCCGTGCTGTGACACGACCGATGCACAGTTCGTTGAAGGGGTTGCCACTTTTCGAAAAGCGGATTATGCTTCTCATTCTGTCTTTCGATTCTTTCGCGCTCCGCTGTCCTATGATCGTTACTGATCGATGGGTTTTGATCTAGAATGGATCTTCGATTGCTAACTGTCATTCGTTCAAAACATTTCCTCAAAAGGAATCGAAAAGTGTGTAGTGTTAGCCGAAAATAAGAATTTAGAATCGAGAAACCCTTACTTACCGAATATAAATATAATAATATAATATACATTGATATAAATACCTAAAATAACTAAAAATTTTCTATTATTGCATAAAGCGAATGAAAATTTTTTAATGTTACTCAGTATCATTGAGGAATTCCTCAAGTAAACGACATTAATTTTTAATTGTGTTAACTATTAAATTTCTAGCACAAAATTAAACAACGGATTGGAAAATATATTTCATAAAGTTTCCCTAGGTACTTTTTATTCCCGGAGGATGGCGAATATTTTCTCGATAGGGGCAAAGGGTGGTCCATAAAGAGCAAAATGGTTTTACGATTTTCTTTGGCTCTCCATTTTTTTCCTTATCCTGCGCGACAGTTTCGCACGTCACTGTTTACTACCGGTGCAACCCCTTTTGGTGTTCCTAGGCGTGGTAGTATTTTTAAAGGGTGTCAGCCAGTTTTTAGGAATCAAATGATCCCAAGAACTTCATGGGTTTGTTTGGACGCTATTGTTCATTTTAGTTTACTTTTCCACTTCTTTGGTTTCGTTAAGTTACGGTTTGTTGTAGAGACATAAGAAGTAAAAATTTATTTTTTATTTCCAGTTGCAATTTATTTGTTTCTTTTCAATTTTAACATGTAGTGTACTAAAAGTATTACATGTATGGAAATAAAAAACTATAAATTTTATTTAGTTTCCTTAAACTTGTTTCGTTCATTCATATAATATCCTAAATTTTTTTAACGTATCCTTATGAATATCTAAGTCAGTATTATTGCAAAATTAAACCATTCACAGGGACAAGTATGAAACTTGTTACTATTAGAGGTGCAACTCAAGCTTCCTGAACAAGGCAAACGAAAAATCCAGCGTAGCATTAGAAAGTACTTGATGCGTACTGGGTACTTTGAAATTTCGAAGGCCCCTCCACTGTAGGCTGCTATAGGTGCCCCCAGGTTTTTTTTTCAGTATGAATGATGATGTATGGATGTTGGCTGGGCGCTAGGGGCTGGGTAAAGGGTTCCATTGTTAAACACCCCCCTCAAGAACGAACCCTCTCTCTCTCTTCGCGGGAGAGGCCATCGTGAAATATTGCCGGTGAGCAACAAACTGCATTCTGCAAGCTGTATACTGTTAATTTTATGCCGGATTTTTTTTGCCCACTTCATCCATCCCTCCTCCCCTTTTGCTATTTAGACTTGCTGCGCAAAGATCGTTACTAGTGGAATTCTTTATGGGGAAACGTTCACTCTTAGATCACCAATGTACATAGTTTGAAATTTCAATTTCAAAAAAATGTATAAGATGTAGATTATATGTTCTCGAAATTTAGATAAAAGAAATTTTAAACATGGGACAATTTTCTTTAAAGTTTCTGTGATTACGATATTGGTGGAAACAAGTGATTGAATTTATTGGAATAATTCTTTCTTGCGTAATATGTTTTTGTTGCATAAAGAAACTCTTGAACACAATGAATATGAGTTACATAATATCGGATACGCGTTACATCCACGCTATTGTCCCTTCAAGCGTAAAGAGTTGTCCGCAATATCCTTTGATTCTTCTACTCTTCACATGAATATGCATCAATCTAATGCAGTGAGGATTACACTTTTCATCGAGATTTTGAGAATAACGTGGCTACTATAGTGAACCGTACAAACCTTTCATTCCCTTCAGTTTGTTACATAAATGACAACTACATTACTTTTGACAAGTATCAGTATCATTAACAGCAACATTGTTTGATAAGAATGAAAACTCAAAGAAGGAACAATATTCCTTTCACCTCTAAAATCTTTCACAGCATATTGACTCCGTCATAAAAGAACGTGGTTCAATAAAAATCAAAAGTTACACCCTCGAATATTTAACCACTAAGGCTAAGCTGAACAACTCAAAAAAGAAACTTCATTCACACGCTTCTCAAATCTGTCACGACCAAAATTACAACCTATGAATTTCTTCAGGAAAGAACGACGCCGAATAAAAATCACAAATTGCACCATTAAATGTCCAACAACTAAAGGCAAACTGAAAGCTCTAAAAAGGAATTTTACCTTTTCACACTTGTTAATCTATCACGATCAGAATTTCAAAGCGTTAATTTCTTCGTAAATGAACGTCACGTCAAAATGAAAAGCGTCATTCTTAACTAAGTCGACAATCGAAAGCAAGCTGGAAAAATGAAGTCAAGGAGAAGAAGGAGGAGCGAACGAGGGCTAGAACTCGATATCAGAGTACGTTATCGGGGAGAACAATGCGGAACCGCAATTAATAGGGCCTGTAATCGGACGCCAGACACGCATCCCGGGCGATATATGCAAATTCGATCGGACACGGTTTTAGAAATTCGCCGCGGCCCTCCTCGTTCGCCAACAATGCGTGACTCCATCGACAATAGGAAATAATAAACCGTGATAAATAGCCGGGCAAATACGTACGACAATCGCGGATCTCCTTTCGCCTCTTCTCCTCTTCGTTCGACTTCTTTCTCCATCCCTCATTTTGGCCGTTTCCAGGTGGACTGATTCATATTCCTGAACAAATAAGTTCGGCAAATATTACGCGGGGGTTGATGGGGTTCTTATGGGTTCCCGTGAGCAAATAGCGGCGTTAATTTCCTCGCTCACGTGTCCCGTCGCGTTCCATTTTCCAATGGAGAACCGAAGAAGAGGAAGTGTTCTTTTTTATGGTAGTACATTTAATGAATATTGAATGTCCTATTATAGGTTTTATATCCGCGCAAGAGGTCGTTATACGTATATAAATAAATTGAAAATGAAGGGAAAAGGTTTTTTCAAATTGGTTATCTACTGAGGAAAATCGAGAATACAAATTCGTAAATTTCAAGGGAACGTTCAATATGGCTATCGACAATGTGTCGAAGTGTTCATTTCAAACTCAATTCTTTCCAAAAATCAAAATCTCAGGCGAAAAAGCTTTGCATTCCTTTTTTCACTTACACATACTTGAATGTAAAATATTTTTCTGCCTGAGTCGTACAGTACTTTATTGAGAAGTATAAATAAATGTTTGAAGTGAGCCGTGACGACAACAAAATTACTTCGATAGAAAAGATAGAAAAAGTAAAAGAAAAGCGAAACTAGTGATTTCGTATGTGTGTAAAAGATCAAGACTCTTCAGATATTTTTAACTTTTTTAGATACAGCGTTTTAAATTCGTATCCAGTTGATATTGAATTTTTATTTGTGATGTATTAGAACGTGTTGTAAACGTATATAACTACATTTGGTGTTTTTGTCTCTAAGACGTATCGAGGAATACAAGAGGGGCCGAGATCCATTATGAAATGGTAGTTTTGGAGCCTTGAACTTTGAAGAGGCAGCACTAATCAAAAGTGGTCCACGGAGACAGATTGAGGGGCGTGCTGAAATAAATCAGTCCTTTGTTTTACGGCTTTAAAACGGCCGTTGGGGATTTTGAACGCGAAGTTACGTCCATTCATTAGAAACACCCCAGCTGCGAGACCAAAAAGACTTCGTTGCCTCATTCAAAAACTGCGTAATCGTTGTTCTCTAATACGAATTGTATACCGTTATACTATTCCTCTACGTACATGATTTGAAACTGCATCTATTTTTAGACTATAAAACCATTTCGAACACAAGAAGTATTTCTAAAATGCAACGACAATTTTTCATGCAAGTTAAATTCGATAGATTGATGAAATGAATGAATAAATGTGTTACTGATTCATCAATTTGATGAAAGGAAAGGGTTAAGCGATGCGTTGTGGTAGAAACGATTCGGATTAATAGTAAAAGCCTAGCGAGATCCCATAGGACCTTCTTGATGAAAAGTAAGGATTTTGGATATAATAGTCTATCTTTGAGAATCTAATATTCTCGCACCCCTCTTGTATCTTATTCGATGACTAAGATAGGTTATTATTTATAAGCCAGATATATCGTATCTTTCATCATATGTACTGAAACATATATACTGAAAGATAATGTTAGTTATCTTTGCAAACATTATTTATGATAGAATTGTTTCTTTATATCTAGCACAATAATAAAACTAAATATTAAAAAATAGAAAATACACTATTGCTCTCTAACGCTAGTCACGCAATAAGAAGATACGTAAATTTGTCAGACCTTGTTATATAATTACATAGTGTACTGACAATGGCGGAGATAAGCGGATGTCGATAATTTATTTTTAAACGAGTATAACGGCGCAACGTACAATTCAACCAGTTAACCAACGTTCCAATTGCTATGAAACATTCTCCTGGCTTTCACAAACTTTCTTTACGTTTCACAGAATTTTAGAAAATACCATAACTTTGCTCAATCGTATAAACCTGAGAAAACTCCATAAATTAATTCGGAGCACTCTAGTATCTTCCACATTAAACTTCCCAATATCTGAAACTTATGCCGATTACGGAACTCGTCCGTTATATAAAATTTTTAATTTTCTTCATCGCGTAAACATAGTGAAAAAATCGATAAATTTAGTCCAGTAAAATCGTCGAAGCAAACAATCGACACTTTACATAGGTATCCATCCACTTTACAAAATATACTGAAGCAAATTTCGTTTTCTTTCGAGATTGCTAAGCGTTGACGCAGATGACGATGCATTTTTTAAATATCGACCGACAGTGTGCATCGATAAACCTGAGCACAATGCACAAGAATGCCCGATAATATATATTATTATTGCGCGGGCGCGGGTCAATAATCGAGCACGTTGCCTGGCGACGGTGCTCCTGCTCTCTCTCAGCCTCCGGAATTTCTTCTTCAGTGACTAGTCCTGCAGCTGCGACGCGCAGAAGTCCAGCAACCTTCGATACATCGTCATCGGACCGGTTTCATCTACTCTGGCTTAAACACGCTGCTCCTCGGTAAGTCAAATCGAATACTTTCGCTTTACTTTTCGCATCAGTTCGCGATATATTTGCTTTCATTCGATCTCTTATCAGTTTCAGTCTCTTTTCTGTTCAGATTCAAAGTTTGAAGTTAAAGTTCAGCAAACTTCATTGCGTTTCGACTCGCCTCGATGGAATTTTGCGGATCAATCCTTTAATATTTTTTATCGATTGATTGGTACGTTCATGTTCTCGTATTGTAGGTGATAATGTCAAAAAGAGTGGTTGAAAAGAAGTAACTTTGTTGTTTAAAGAATATGTTTGTGTTATGTAAAGCTCATGTAAAGCTTTTGTGATGTAAAGCTTAGTATTTTTACTTTCAGTTCAATAGTTATGTGGAGGAAAAGCAGACAATTAGCAACTTCCCTACCCTGTTCAGAAACTGAAAGTGAATGTAAGAAAGATGGTAAACAGAAACTCTCAGCACGTACGATTGAAGATAAGTTCGAAAGACTATGTGGATTCAAATTGAACGATCTTTCGTCTTTTGAAAAATTCACAGCGCTTTTGTATCGACCAACTGATCCAGCTAGTTTAGGAGTTGTCAGAGCACTGTTTGGTTAGTTATTTTAAGATACAATATAATGGTTAAAAAAAATAGATGGGCAATCTATTTGTTAACATAAAACATAAGAGGTAATACAAATTTATACTTAATTTTATGTTTACTTAAATAACATTGTCTAGGACTATGCATGGTATTGGACGTGGTAGAAGAACGTGGATTAGCAGATATAGACATAAAATGGGGAGATCCTATGGAGTGTCATTTCCCATTAATTCACGGAATGAAAGCTCCCTCACTGCCATGGATGATATTAATTTATGCGATAATGTGGATTGGTGCTTTTGGAATTATGCTGGGTTCGCGGTTCAAAATAGCTTGTGCCTGTTTCGTGATTCCATATTGGTACATCTTCCTCTTGGATAAAAGCTACTGGAACAATCACACGTATCTTTATGGGATCGTTGCTATTCTCTTCTGGGGTACGGAGGCTAACAAGTACTTGTGAGTTTGAAAGAAAATCTGAATGAGAAAATTGACTGATATGAGTCAGAATCATTGCAGATATTAATTTAATACTAAAAAATATCAATTTGATTGCCTAAACAATAAATGAAAATTTTTCTTCTCGTTTTCTCTGCAATTTTTCCTGATTTTCTTTATAAAATATTTAATTTATAAATCTGTACAACTTGGGCAGTTCTATGTCTACTAATTATTTAATGCTAGAAATTGTCGAAGTGTTCTCTTACAGTGCATTGGATGCTACTAAAATGAAAGTTACCGAAAAAACTGCACCATTATGGAACTATTTCATTCTAAAATTTCAATTTTTTGCACTATATTTCTTAGCTGGATTGAAAAAATCTGGCGCAGAATGGCTATCGGGTTACGCCATGACGAATTTATCGCAGCATTGGGTCTTCAGTCCGTTCAAGTAGGTATAATTAAGAACCGAACGTATCTAAGTTCGAAAATACATGAAAACTATACTCTTATCAGAGGTAGACAGCCGATAGAATTTTACCAGTCGATAAAATAGTATTGCACCATTTCAGATTATTTTTGACCACCAAGCAAACTGATTTTTTCATAGTTCACTGGTTTGGATTTATCTTTGACCTCACGGTTGGATTTTGGATGCTGTTCGATAAAACTCGAATTCCTGCAATGATCTTTTGTACAGCCTTCCACTTAATGAACTCTCGATTATTCAGCATCGGTGAGTAATTTCGTTTCGGTAATAATAATATCCCAAGGCAAACGAAATTCTATGTGCATTATTAATTTCAGTGTTTATTCTCAGGAATGTTTCCATTAGTGTGTCTTGCAACGATGCCTCTGTTTTGCAATCCAAATTGGCCTCGAAGGCTCGGAACTTTCATCAAACGTAATTATGCTCGTTCATTTTCTAAGAAAAGTCAACAGATAAGAAACTATAAGAAAATTGCGATGGAGCGAATAAAAGAATCGTACGATGAAATAAATGATGAAACTGGCAACGGATCATCGATCGATGATGGAAACCAAGAAGGTACAAACTCGATAAGCTCTACAATTACTCGTAAACATATCAAAGGAATCAGCAGCAAATCGACTAGAGTGACGAAGAAGCAAAAGTTCGTAGTTTCTCTATTACTATTCCATGTATTCTTGCAGTTTTTCTTACCATACTCTCATTTTATCACGAAGGTACACTAATAATATGTTCCTGATTACACGAACCGTTTACATCAATTTTTTGATATTCAATAATTCTTTCCTTTTTTCATTATTATTAGGGTTACAATAACTGGGTACCAGGAATGTATGGATATTCTTGGGACATGATGGTACACGTTTGGGATACTGTGCTAGTCGTAATTAAGATTCACGATAACGTCAGTAACGAGGATCGTTATTTGGATCCTAAAGCATGGGTGCAAACCAATCGATGGGAGAAACACGGCGATATGGTCATACAATACGCTTCCTGTTTAAGAGTAAGTGTTATCTTATCGATACACCCGTATCATCGAATTATGTAATGTTTGAGAATGTGAATTCTTAATAAATAAGAAAAGAGAGATTCACATCTATAACGACGCATACGATCAGTAAGTTTCACATGCAATTTATGCTGTAGAGAGTAATATAATATTTATAGGATAATTTAATTAAACAAGAAGATCAGCTTTTCGAGAGTGACTTCCAACGCGACAGAAAACCGAAATGGTCGCGACTGTCATCGAATTTAAGCATCTACATCGACGTGTGGTGTTCGCTAAACGGAAGATTCCAACAGAGGATGTTTGATCCAAATGTTGATATGCTAACAGTAGATTGGCACCCGTTTCAGCCTGTTTCTTTCTTAATGCCCCTTCTTTCGCAATATAGTTCGTACAGGTATAAACATAATTTACTTATCTAATGATTTATGAATTAAACTACCCTAGTAAATAGCGTTTTCAACGAACGAATATTTTCATATAAATAACAAAATTATGATATTTATTGCTTTATTTTCTATTCAGATACAAGTTGGAAGAAATTCAGCAACACGTTTACACTTGGTCCAACGATACCGATGTTCTTTTCGTCGCTGATTTCCCAGGCATGTATCTAGACAATTATATCTCTAAGAACTTCACCAACGTCACACTGACTGTCCTCGAAGGTGAAATAACATATAGCGATGAGGAACAGAGATATATCGTGGTCTCGAAAGGATCATCGATTCAAATACAAACAGGCCAATTTCATAAAGTAACGACAACGAGCGCTTATCCAGCTTGCTACATGTACACCTGTACTAATCGAAATAAAGAGGAACCAGAAACGGATGGGTACGTAATAATTTTGTGAATCTTTGTAAATACTTTGTAGACATAGTTATTTAATTGCTGATTACACCCACGATAATAACTTATGTCGAATATCTGTGTCATCTTTGAATCTAGTCAATTGATGATGTTATAAGTTATGGTATATTTGAATGGAATATAGCAGGTATGAAGCATGTGCAAATTAACAGAATAAATTTAACTAAAATTTGTTTCTTTGCAGTATAATGGAGCTCGAAGAACCAAGAGAAGGCTTCCCAATCGCGAGAGAAATTAGATACAAAGTCGATGCCTGGATAAGAGCATTGTATCATATAGCAAACTCATTTTTCCATTTAGTGTACAACGTTCCCATGGTGCGACGAGTACAAGTCAATGAATAATATAAATATTTGCAATTCAAAGTCGTCTGAATACAGTACGAAATTAATCGAATGTTGATTTTCATTTCTAAGCGGCTAATTTTTAGAAATAGACCAAGACTGATGAACAGTTTATTGTTTTACTTGACTTGAGATAAAATTGTGATATCGATTCTCAGTAGATAGCGTTATTTCAATTCAGGAGATAAAGTAGATATAAATGTCCAAAGAGAATTTATTATTGACTATCAGTTATTATAAAAATAAGTGGACAAGTGGAGACATGTATCAATGAAGTTTCGTTAAATGCAACTTGTTTACATCAGAATGTTATTATTATTTTCAATTATCTACTAAATAACCTATGTGTCCTGTAAGGATATAAAATAAATAAAATTCAAGCATATAATAATTAAGCTTCATTGGCATTTACTCCCAGTCTACCCGTCCATTTATTTCTGTCTCTGCGACTGTATGTAATATATAAATAATGGAAGAATCAAAAGTGCACGGGGGAAGATGATCGTGATTGAAACCGTATTTTCGTATTTTTTCGGATTAACTTTTCCGCTTTTGTTTGGAAGTTAACGGCGAATAATTGCCACCGTGGCGAGTTTTAGAGCTAAGAGCGTCTATTATTAGTTCCTAATAAAAAGATAATCGACGAAGTAGAAGACGTCGTAATCGTAACTATGTCAACTCGTCTATGCCCCTGTAAAAACAATTCATCGTGCTTCTAATAATACGCTCAAGTCGAATCTTTCCTGTCTCGGTCTATGCGGAAAACGCCACTGAAAAACCGCGACGCGAAATTAATCTCAAGGACGTTGAACTTCGCGAGCGCAAAAGTATGAAAGCGATTAAATATGTGCGATCAAATAGCTATGACTAAATGATGGAAATAAATGGTCGATAACCTGCTTCGATTATTCGTCGATTCGGTGATCGTTGTGAAAATCGACGAAATTCGAGAAAACACGATTTCGTTGATTTAAGATCTTAAATGAAAGAGAAATGTAATAATATTTATTAATAATATTTAATAATAAGAAAAATACTTGATGTGTAGTTGGATATTTAGGGGCTCACAAAACATTTAGAAACATTTTGAGAATATATTATGTCTGTTATACGAAACACTTAAAAATGTTGTTAGCACTGTAACGAGACTGTCATAATCGTATTGGTAAAGTTTGAAACGAATGTGGAAATGTAGATGGATGCTACAAGATGCTTAAAACAAGTATATGTCTATATGACATCATAATACTATTTGAACAGTCAATTATGAATTGTATTAATAAGTCTTAAGATACTTAATGCACGTTCAAGCTGTATATTGTACGTGCTGTATACTGATTTTTTACTTGACATATTTTGACAGTACATATCTCGTAATTTCTATATACATTTTCAAATGGATTCCAAGTTTGACCAATGTAATAACGATAATCGTGTCTAATTACAGTGTTAATGAAATTTCAAAATGTTTTATATAATACGTACAATATTGGTACAAAAGTTCCCTATGATAAGAGTTTAAATATTTTCGTCAGCCGCTCTAATTTATATATAATGATAAGCGAAGATTGAATTTTAAAAGAAAAACGGCTTCTAAAATCGGAACAATCGGCGAATGTTTCGTTTTTTTCTTTTTTTTTTTACATTCAAGAAGTCTACAGAACTATTTTCCTCTCAATCGGTGCCAAGAACTTCGGCAGCCAAAACGTTTTACAGCGAGTGCCAGTATTGCTCAACCGATTCTCAACAAGATAACAGATAGCAACGTGAATTAAAACAATTCGTTCGTGTGTTTTCGCTGCCACAAAATGTACGCAATCAAATCATCTCTTTTCTCTTCGCGACATAATGCTTGTAAACCGTATATACGCCTACGTTAAACGCGTAAATATCTCGTAACATTCTAATAAGCTTTCTCGTCTGATAAGTTGTAAGTAAATGCATTCGATGGATCTGATAATTATTCCAGTGATGTACCAACCGTTTCGTATTGCCCCGTAGCCGACAAATAATGACATTATTGTCGTTGTACAATGTAGAATATGCTGTCACCTGTTTCTTTTACAAAAATATTTTCAACATTGTGTCGTTTTATTACAACCTTTGTTGTAATAATAATTTTTTAATCGAAGAGCTCGATGGAAAAGTGTATTTTTGCATTCACAACTCTTTTAATACATTTGTCAATGTAATTTATTTTGCAGTATAGATTTTCAGATAAATTCCTAATTTCTCAATTGTAAATCTTAATTTTATGAACACTCAAAAACCATTTACTTGCAGACACATATCGTTTAAAAACAAATATGCAGATAGAAGTAACATCGGTGGAGATCGGTAATTAAGTACTGATGTGTTCCCTTTCATATAAAAATTCTAGATAAGTGTTGAACGAGTTGCAAATAAATTTTAAGTTCTACTAAATCCAAAAATCTGTACAGTTAATATTCAACTTCGATAAAATAGAACTCTATAACAAAAAAAAAAAAACTAAAATTAAGAAATCTGTTATGAAGAAGTCTGAAAACGTTTTTGATAAAGGAACAGGAAATAATGCTAAATAATACAAAATTGTCGAAAGAATTATAAACTTATAGCATAACAATATACTATTTAGAATACGAAGACACTTACACATGTAAGTAAATCAGCTGAGATTATCATTATCACAAAATGGACATCGGTATCGACATACATAATGTCGCTATACCTATACCTGTTTAGAAACTTGCTTATCTCGATACGTGGCGGAGGAAACAGCTGTCAATTGTCAGTCGCTGGTATACGATCGTACGGAGACCTTCGATCCAAGAAACGTTGAAAAATTTGTCCGAAATTGTATTGGTAATTAACCAATTGCGAAATTGGTGAGCGTAAATCAACAAGCGGATAGTGTGATCCATTTAAACTTACGCGATCGAATTGTTGTTATTTGAAGTAATATAGTATGCTTATCAGAATAAAAATACGATGAAAATACTTGCAATGTGACAGTGTCATCAAAAAAGTACTACATATTGACAAAAGTTTGTGAAAAATGAGAGAATAATGAGATACAATATAGAACTATGAGTGGCAGCTAGTTAATTTTATGATTAAAAAATGAGCGACTATTGATTGTATTTATGGTGTGATCGATGTTGCAGCGAATATAATCGTTAATAATTTCTTCTTCATATTTTCTTATAGATTTGATTAGAAAATTAAATGATGGTTTGTAACTTTTTTCAAAATCGTATTTTATAAATGTTGCGTACAAAAACACATTGATTATAATCATAACCAATTTGTCAATGCCTGTTTTCCAAAAGTATGAAATTATTTACCTTCGTATGATTTCTAGAGAAAACATGCCCGCCAATGGAGGTAATGATAGAGGAAGAATGAAAGACACGGATCCGCTGCTCGAAGCGCTTGATAAACTCGGATATGGGTCCAGCTTTTTATGGATAATATTTATTTTTACACTGACACCGACGATATTCAATGGGATGCACTCCATGTCTTATATCTTTATTGCCGAAGTAAACTTAACTTACACTTAGTAACTACAAAAACTATTCGCACATATCATTATTTTCCAACGAAAAGTCTTTTTATCAAGTTCTATATACGTTTCAAATTTTAGTAATCATATCAAAGTACCAAATACTAAAAGTGGTACGGTAACAATTAACAAGTAATCAAACTTAATCAATTAGTATTTAAATATTATAATAAATATAATGACATGCCAATACTTCTTGTAGCCACTGTACCATATTAATAAAAAAAATATTATATAGCGATCATAGTCCTGGAATAAAAAAGTGATAGGATTCTATATAAAAATATACATATATGATTAGATGAATAAGAATTATGTTTCACAGACTCCCACACATTGGTGTGCAATACCAAGTTTGACTGCCGCGAATTGGACGGACGAAGAAATAAGAAACATCTCATCGACCACTTCATGTACTATGTACGATTATAATTATGAAGACTTTGCGTATATTGGATTCGAGAAAGCGTTAGAATATAAAATGTCGAATCCTCTACCTAAGTCGATTTCCTGTGAAGTAAGGAGTTTCGCAAATGATATCGATGGAACTTCTCTCGTGCAAGATGTTAGTATCACATTTCACTAATTAGATATAGCCGTAAGTCGTAACACTATTATCCGAAGTTACTTAAAATCCAATTTCCTTAAAGTTTCCTTATCCTTGCCAGAAAGTCGTTTCCATCGTGTCCAATACTCACGGCGACATCTGTTAGTATCGATTCACTTCCGCTCAAAAATTCGGAGCACGTTAAAATTCTTAAAGGAATAACGATTTTCTTGAATGAATATATATTTCATTCATAACACACAATATCCTTCAATAATATTGAAATTGTAATCAATTATATTTAAAAATAAAACTTATGATTATAATATACTTACTTGCGAGAAAAATGGATGAAGAAGCTTGCTTCGCCGAAAAACAAATTTTCGAAGTCTTATTTCCAAATTTTTTGAATTTTTTGACGTATCCTGGAATTTTTTATAGGCAAAATTGGAAAACTGGAGTTTTTGTAGGCAAAACTGAAAGAACTGGATTTTTTTATACGTTTTTTATACTTTTTTTTATAATTATTTTTCTCAGACAGTATTTCAAAAGATCTTATTTTATAAAAGAGTATGTTGCATTCCAGTAAGAACTTTTATGTAGATAGGATAACCAGTGACTTGACTATAATGGGAAATTATGAATAATCGACTTTATTATTAATTTTAGTGGGATTTGGTGTGCGACAAAACCGCGGCTCGTTCGAGCACGCACATGGCTTTGTCCCTTGGAAAATTATTGGGTAGCGCTTTGTTCGGAGTCATCGCAGATAAATATGGGCGAAAAATCTGTTACGTTATTGGAATAATAATGTTAATCACCTCTGGTCCAGCTGGTGCGATCGTGCCGTGGTATTGGGGTTTTATAATCTCGAGAGTAGTTAACGGTGCTAGTCATGCAGCCATACAGTATTCGTCTTTCACGACACGTGAGTAATCTATAAATTGATAATATTATAACTATGAAACACATAGTAATGTGATATCGATGTGATTTTAAATCAATTTGTATTTATAGAAATTTCTGTCCTTGGAAGCTGCAATAGCTATCAAAATTAATATTAAAATTAAATATTACTAATGAATTAAAGGTTGATATTTATTAGTTGATTTATTGGGTCGTTAATCATTATTATATATTAGCCTATTTGTTATACAGTCACAGAGGTAGCGAATGAAAAACACAGACAATGGATGGGAATTGCTTACAACGTCGGCTATGCCACAGGGATAGTAATTGTGCCAGGTGTAGCTTATTTGCTACACGAATGGAGATATATTCAATTAGCAATATCTTTACCGGCTTTGCTTTTGCTAATACATTTGTGGTAAGTTTGCTTTTGTGTAATGTGAATTTTCTCAAAGAGACTGAGATCAAGCAGTTTGTTATCCGAAATTGCTTCACGACATAATCTTGTTTGAATTATAGAATTAAAAACTGAGTTCAGAGAAATACTGTTTGTATCTTTAGAAGAATTCAAGGAACTTATTATGATAAATCATTTTAATGAGCAGATATGTAGAACAACTGTAGTTTGCAACTGTTGCAGGCTTATGCCAGAATCTCCACGATGGCTGATAGCTCACAATCGTCGACAGGAGGCGAAGAGTTTAATCGATAGAGCATCTAAAGGAAGTCCTGATGCAGAAATGAGCACGTCATTGACACCAACCATACGAATACAAGAGTTAAAACAAGAATCGAAGGAGTCCAAAGAGGAATTGCATAAAAGTATCAAAGGATTTTGGGTGCTTCTTAGCAATAGTGAATTACGAAAGAGGATTCTTATCACGAATTTTACTTGGATGACAGCTTCTCTGACTTATTACGCGTTAGGTAATCGAATGATCGAAATTTATTCCTGTTTCCGCTTACTACTATAATATCTAACAGAATTATACTTTTATAGTAGAACTCTGTTTATAGTAACTTATCGAAGGAGAGATAGTTTATATAATTGAATTTTATATGTATAATGAGAGTGTAGTGATTCTCTCCACTACTTAGAATTTCTTTGTATATATAATAGCAGTTCACATAAAAAAAATAGATTTAATCAACAAGAGTTCATTTAGTAAAAATTTTGTTCAAATAAATAGAATTCGTGTAAACTGTTCTAAAGCTTAAAGCTTAAAATATATTTTATCAATTCTTTCAGCGTTAAATGTGAACAATTTCTCAACAAATCGGTACATTTACGTGTTGGTAATGGGTCTAACCGAAATACCAGCTTATTTGATACCGACACCGATTCTAATGATTATGGGACGACGTCCAGGAAGCACAACTTTATATGTCATAGCTACGTTATGTCTACTCTGTATTCTCGCAATTCCAACTACTGAAAGCGATGTAATTATGACCGTATCCTTAATTGGTAGATTCAGCGCGTCAGCTGCTTATGGCATCGTTATTCTATATAGCTCGGAACTTTTCCCCACGGTAAGCATAAATAGTAAGCATAAATAAAAGCAATCTACAATAAAATGAGCAATTCTATAATTTTTCCAAAAACACTTTACAAATTTCCATTTTACGGGATCTAAATGATATTTTGTATTTTTAAGTATGTAGATAAAAGCTTGATTATTCTATAATTTCATTCACGCGAGTTCTATATTTTGGTCGCCAATAGTTCTAGCGTTAATAAATAAACTGCATCAAATATACTTTTAACTATATCCAACTATTTCAATAAAAATTACTCGCTAAATATTATGATAGACATTTTCGTAATTTTTACTATTTAATCTACCTTTTGGATATTTCTAGACAAGTTCAATAAATATATGTATTATGTGTGTTTTTGGAACACCTGAAATTTCATTAGCACTGTTACCAAGACTAGACTATCATGATTATCATATTGGTAAAGTTTGAAATGACGACATTAATGATAGCTCTAAATTATTTTGCTTCGAAACAGGTCTGCAGAAACTCCGCGGTTGGTACGAATTCTGCGATGTCGCATGTCGGAAGTATAGCCGCGCCTTATGTCGCTGATTTATTAGGAGTTGTTGTATGGTGGGGACCAACGACTCTTTGCGGCGGCTTAGCTTTAATAGCAAGTATACTATGTTCGATTTTGCCGGAAACTCGGGGCAGGCCGTTAGCGAACACCGTCGACGAGGAAATTACGGAAGAACGAGAGAACGTGTCGTTTTATAACGCTTGCAAGTGTGTATGAAATACAACAGTAATGGGGTCAGGACCGGTATATTTTCTGCTACATTGGTTTATTCTGATTCATTCACAAGATCCCGTTTTTATTCACAGGACTCACTCTTCAAATGAAACAAGATCAATCTGTATTTCTAACAAAAGTGTAACTGTGTTTTAATAAAAGTATTGTATACCAGTATATCAAATTCCTACATTCAAGAGTTGATGTGACGATAGTCTCGTTTCTAAACAATGTGTCCTCACATATTGCAATAGCTAACGAAAATATTCGAACTCATGTAGATACATTTTATGAATATATTTGTGAGTTGTATGAAAAATTTTGAAATTTCGTTAGCTCTGTAATGAAACTCGAGCATCATGATGGTGCTAGTAAAGCTTGAAATAAATCTGAAAATGTACACACACGTTACTGCTGCATGATACCGAATATAAACGTATAGTTCGCACAGATTACAAAAATATTTAGACAGTCAAGTATTTATTGTACTAATAAGAATCAATATTCAGTGGGACAAGATGAACATTTATTTTTATACGTATACTAATTTCTTACTGAATATGTATATGTTGGTAATAAATATCTTATAACTTCTATGTGCATTTTCAGATTGATTTCAAATTTTACGAATATAATTATGATGTGTTTCATTATAGCGCTAATAAAACTGCAGAACATTTTATGTAAGGATCCAAATACTTTCGTAAGCCATTGTACTTCTGACTGCGTTTTAAACTGCCTTTATACAAGAATTTGATATTATCGATGGACATATTTTGTATTGTATATCCACGGATTAAAACGTGGAGAATTAGACGATGACTCAAGTATGCAATTGTCTGCTTGCTATACTTTGTTATCGAAAGAAAAATATATACAGATTTATGTAATATTTCTTTCATATCCCTTTTTACGAAAATTCTACTTGATCTCTGGATAGTCAGAAACCATATTTAACTCGTTGATGTTTTTTATTCACCGTGAATAATTCTTTCGACGCTTATTACAGATTATATAACTACAATCAACTATTGCAATTATACGTGGCAAGTGTAAGCACATGCATTGTATAAAATCGTTGTAATTATCTCTTCTGATACAAATCTAACACGGTTGTCACGTACATATTGTCAAACACATAAGTATTTAAAGGCAAAATACTTAAAAGTGAACGTATAAAAGGTAACGCTAACAATCCTACAATTAGTTTAGTCGGTTCCTTACTTCGCGAGGAGATTCGACATAAGTTTTGAAACATGAAGAATTCAGCGTTTCTTGTTTCGTTTATCCTCTATTGCGTAAGAATAAATATATCCTATTTTCAAACAGTATAAACAATACGATGTCTGTCGTTTCAAAATATTCAAAGTTATCTACTTTCAGGGTCTTTTCAGTCAAAATGTAATTGTGTCACACGCGAAACATCCACCTTTTCCTCCCGAAATAATACATGATTGTATGGATCGTGAAAATATAACAACTAGTGAGTTAATTATCATAAGTGAAACAATTATTACATTTATAATAAAATCATTAAAAAAATTACAGAAGAATTGATGATACTTGATAGTTCACCGGTTGAGACAATCAAATTACTAGACAGCAATAGAGAAGACTTCAGAAATATCGGATGTTTCTTAGCTTGCGCCTTCCAACAACATGGCGACGTAAAAATAATTTTATATATAAATATAACCAAGAAATTAACACGTTTTCTGATTCATTTATACTTCAGATGTCAGGATCTACTATGAATGTACAAACAATGATAGATCGTATGCACGGAATGCATCACGGTCATATAGACGCCAATCCGTTTTTCGCTAATGCCTTGCAAACATGTGCAGATTCGCGTAAGTATATTTATTCTGTAATAATAATTCATATTTTATCATAGTGAAAATCTTAAAAATAATTTGTATCTCTTTGTTTTAGTTGAAGGAACAGACGACGAATGCGAAGCGGCTCTTACCTTCCACATATGCTTGATGGAAGCTTTCCATAATAGATCCTAAATTAATTTATATTTTATCTATTTCGACGTATCTGCTGCGATAATGGCAACTTGTTAAAAATTATTTGAATTAGTAAACTATCAAATTAGCGAGCAATTGAAAAGGATAGTTGATAATTTATGCAACCTTTTTCCCTAAGAGTCCCAGTTCAAATATATCTAATAATGCGTGTGATAAAATTAATCAATTCGAAACGTAGATACGATTGCCATGCGTCCTAATACAATTGGATTATGTTTCTAGATTCGTCACATAGTCACGACTATCGTTTCGCAGTGCAGTATCGACATGTTCGCTAAAAAATTACAAATATCCTCCACCTTGGTTTCCAGATCTCAGGATTTACTGAGGTATTATACAAAAAATCTTCATATTCATCATTCATTAATGAATAAGAACAATTCATTCCTATTCGTGAATAATTTTTAACGCATAATTATTTAATTAATAATTATTTAACGCATTAACGAATACAGTTTAGGATGGCGAAAGCTTCTAGTGCCCGTTTCGTTGTTTGGAGTAATTGCACTTTTATTCTGCTTGTGCTACATATTTTGGGATACGATGGATTATAAGATAATGGAGAACAACGTTTTCATTCAAGATCTAAATAGCGCTATAAAGGAAAATTCAACACTGTCCCAACACAGTTTGAATGACTCTATGCAACACAAAACTGGTAAGACCTATTGTCAAACTGGTCCATCATGTAATACAATAACCTGTTCGTCTATCCCGCAAGATTCTGGAACAGTGGTGTCAGAGTTCATCGAGAACAATTTCAAGGTATTTAATAAAAACAACAACGAAAGCAATATTTCTGTCTCGTTAGCCCAAATGAACTAGTTTATCGTATATTATATATTTCGTGTAGGCTATCTGCAAGGATACAACATCCGTGAAATTGTCACTTATCAAATGCAAATTCCCCGAGAACATGCTTCGGAAGAATTGGCTGTGCACCAACTTGTCGATCGAAGAGTTGACGTTCGAGCGTTGCTTCCTCAGCAAAATAGAGGATAACGCGTTTTCGTCGTCCATTTATGAACAGACGAAGAAGATCTCTATGATCAACAACGAACTCGTCTCTTTGCGCAAGGCGATGTTCCGTCACTTTAAAATGTTAGAGGTGTTGAGTATTAACGAAAATATCGTCAAGTCGGCTGAATTTAATTTGCTCGAAGAGGTGGCGGGTTCTTTGACCACGCTGGACCTGCGCCAAGCCATCGACGATCGAAAGGTGCTTCGAAACATAACGGGCGGAAACGCGTTGTCAAAGCTTGAATTATTGTCTTTATGGGGGAACTCCATATCCGTGATCGATGCTGAATTGTTCGTCGGTGTGCCAATGGTGAAATCGCTTTATCTGCACGCCTCGAACATTGAGACAATGTCGCAAGATACTTTGCAACCGATGGCTTCATCCATATTGCAAATAACGCTGTACAGCAACAATATTGTCTCGTTACCACAGGGACTGCTAGACCACGTGGTTGATTCGAATAAATGCTTTGGTATGTTTATGTACGACAATCCTTGGCACTGCGATTGTAGTTTAAAATGGTTACAGGATTTCATGCAAAATCAGTATATCTGTATGGACCAGTCGAATGTAGTAAATTCGGATAGAAAAATTCCAATTTGTAAGACGCCTCAGGAAAAAGCCGGGAAGCCATTTACGACAGTGGATTTCTGTTCTCAGTCAACCATCAATTCCACCATATCCACCACGACACTTAAATCTACTAAACACGATTGGATCCAAACTACTACTATTACTCCGACTAAAGGTATAACCAATCAAACCACCCAGACACCAGATACAACCAATAGGATGGTCCACGTAAATTGCAGTCTCACCTATACATATATACAAACTGCTAATACACGCAAACTTTTATCCACCGATGTTCTTCAGTTTCCTCCGCGATTTCCCCATTTCTATGTCTCGAAGGTCTCAGACCGCAGCATACTCGTGAATCTGCCCGACCTGAACAAAGAAATCACGCTGCTCTGGTTCGACAACAATAACGTCGACAGCTCGCTCGGCTGTGCAAAAAATGTGAAGTACTCTTATCTGCTGCAGAATATCGATTCGCAAGCAACGTATACTATCTGTTTGCTTGACGATAACGGAGACAACGTATCACCGTTGAACTGTTTGGCTGTAACTACTAGGCCCACTTACGAGTACAGGACCTGGTTGACGAACGCAGACAAGAGCTTGGTCTTCCCTCTATTGATATCGTCGTTAATTCTACTGTTCTTCGTCGGTGCTTTCCTCTCGTTCCTGCTGATAAGGCGATACCCAACATTGCTTCGCGGTAACAAACGGATCATGTTGGTGAAACGCAGGAACGTGGACGCCATTGTGCTTCCGAAGGGCGTCGATATGGATGAGGAGAAACAGAGAAAATCAATCTCTGTTTCTTACGTTAGCAAGCTTTACGAGGATGGCTACGTTACGCCTTTGCCTCCGGAGAGAATGCTGCTTCCTCGAAGATCGAGAATATCTAGAACAAGCTCTCAAAGCGACAGAAATAGTTACGTGTCAGAGGTTGAGACAATAGAGTCGCAACTAGCTTTTTGGAAATTGAAGAGCGAGCTGGAGAAACAGAAATCAATTGCTCCTCCATTACCACCACATCCTTCCAACTTAATTCCTTCCGTCTCTTGGGGAATAGATACAAAGGACGACCGTGATTATGAAGTTTTTAACTTAAATTCCGTAATACCTGATGCCCACTAGATCATTAGCCATTTTACAACAATTGAGTAATGATTTCAAAGTCGTTTACTGACACATACTACATATTTTGCAATGTGAAGTTACACAGTTGAATTTCTTCTCATTGGATCGAATTCTGTAAAATTTGGCTGCCGGCCGAGAGGTACGCGTGTCAATGTCAATTTCAGTGATCATGTATAAACAAGAAGATTGAACCACTAAAAGATGTCGATAATTGGAAATATATATATATATAAATATATATATATATATCATAAATAAAATTTTAGTTTAATTTACGAAACGTGTTTCGTTCTATTATCGTTCCTTGTATCATTGCAAAAATGTTTGTTCTAACGTCGATTATTATCATTGGCCAGTCTCTGTCGTTTATTTTTGATGATTAGGTCAGTAGTTCGGCGTAGCACGTCGAAGCTCTACCTGATTGGCTAAGGAGGTCAGTCAGCTTCGTGTCTGCTTCTTAGAAGCGGCTGCCAGCTCGAGCTTTTTTACTGCCACGAGTGGCTGGCAATCCACTGCAATTCTCTAAAAGGACGCAATGCCAATATCAAACCACTGTACTGTTGGAGCACGCTGCAATCAGTATAACTGTTTGCGTGTTCGCCCACCGAGTGCCGTGGAAATGACCGGCTATACGCAATGACACGTCACTAGCTTTCTACGTGCACTGCCAATAGCAGTTCCGGATTTGCGTGAGCTTGACATTGTCAAATGATGTAACACCATACCTAACACGTCCCATTTCTCCCTTTGTGATAAATCGACTTCTTTGCACCCCGATGAACCACGATCGAATACATTTTCTATTGTCTTTACGCTAGTTTATCTCTACTCCGAGTGAATCTCATTCTTTCGACATTTTTTTCTTTTTTTTTTGACATTAGAATTAATGTATGAAATACAAATATTTGATGAATTATTGTGATATTTATATTCAATTAATTTGATATATATTGATTCTATTATATATGTTAATAAATTTGTATATTTATTTTATTTTTATATCTTATATATCCTTGATAGAAAATTGTCATTACTGTACTGCGAATGTTTGCCTATTTTATACGATGCAGAAATGATTGGAATGCATGATATTCTACGAAAATATATAAAATACCTAAGGTAAAGTATTATATTCACTATACATACATGATATTTAGAGGATGAAATGAGTTCCTATAATATTTATGTTCCATTTCTTTAAGTGTGTTCATAAAGATATGAATTAACATTAACAGCCATAACCTACTGATCATAATATAGGAGGATTATTTTTTCTCCTTTTCGCAATTTTTCAATTACACTTTTTCAATCTCTTAATTATGAAAAAAATTATTTGATTAGCTTCTACATTATATCCTCTAGCTGGAAAAGACAACGACAAAGATATTGGATAATATGAATCTTGATTTAAAATACAAAAATCATATAAATGTAAATTTCAATGATTCCACAAATCAAATGTGGAAAGATAAATTAGGAAGATTAATATTGGCAAAGTGTATGTGTTATTAATAACATGTAAACAAGATGAAACAATAAGGAAAGAACAATCGATTTAAACGCCGATGTAGTTTGTCATTCACTGGTTGCGCCACCAGACTATACGTTTCGCAAAGTACAAACCATGAAAGGGTCCCGATTAAGAATCTTTTTATAGTGTCTTTAGGTCGTCAAATGATTGGTGATTGTCTATCGACGCTAATAAGAATGCGAGATTGCGTCTGTGTAGCTCTACTAATTAGTTTACTAAGGCTCAGTGTGACATTTTCATCGGTACAGTAAGTTGTTCAGAAGCGATTGCTCAGACGGGAACTGTTAATCATTTGCCTCTGTTATAACTGTGATTAGTTCGGACGAGCATAATCGTTAATATATCGAATCACCGACATAATGGTAATTATCAAAGGGATCGTTGAACGCGAGCTATCCAACTATTAAATTTAATAACAGATTAAAAAACATTTCATTACGTGATATAGTGATATGTAATTATGAAGATCGATCATTTTTTTGATATAGTGCGACAAAGTTTGGGTGATCTCTTATTTAGTTGAAAATACTAATTTCCAGTATATATTATAATTAGTAAATGAGGTTTTAATAAATGTGGATCGATTTTTCACTTTTCTAGGATGACATTCAACTTAGCAAGGATCAAATTTCACGTGAGTGTCGATTTCATAGCATAGCATAGTCAATTCTTTAATTGCATCCAACTTTTTCAAATCTTACGATATAAAGTTACTTTCCTGTTTTCTAAAATTTTCAACCTCGCAGAATTGAAAATGGGATTCGATGCATTCGATCCTGACAAAAAGGGAATCATCAGCACCGACTCGGTCGGTACCATTCTTGGAATGATGGGTATGAGAATACCAACTGATCAATTGCATTTGACCATTTCTGAATACGACCCTTTTGGTAAATTAACAAACTACAATGTTTGGATTCTTCGAAATTAAACAATCAACGTAAAACATATTGATCGCCTTCGTTTCGTAGGATCTGGAGAAATTGGTTTCCAAGAATTTTGTAGCCTGGCCTCCCAATTCATGGAGGAGGACACTGATATGGAGGCAATGCAGCAGGAGTTACGGGAAGCTTTCCGCTTGTACGATCGAGAGGGAAACGGTTATATTACCACCGATGTGTTTAGGGACATTCTTCATGAACTAGACGACGCACTATCTCCCGAGGAGCTGGACATGATCATCGATGAGGTGGACGCTGATGGTTCAGGAACGGTCGACTTTGAAGGTACGTGTAATGTACTAGAAATCCGTTTATTTAAACTCTTATCTGAAAATTTATACGAACTCAATGAGTTCAACGAGTTCAAAACGAATGGAGCTTCAAAGATATATACGACATTAAACCAGACAAACTTAAGATGTAAGACGATATTAGAAATACAATAAGCTAGATTAAAGAAATCATTGTGTTCAACAAAATCTAACTCACACGAATCAAACATAATCGTTAAAGACCACGATGTCGATACGAAGTAAAACATAAAAGAAGAAAAAGGGTTCAGATAAATGGAGTGTTACCATAAATGAAAATAATATAGCGCGATTGTAAAAGCAATAGAGAGCTAGTTTATAATATACATTTTGCCAAGGCGAAACACATACATAAATTGGAGACATTTCCCAATATTTAAATTTCTTCTACAAAGCACGTATTGAGTACAAGACCTTCAACAAATGTTCCTGTTTAAACCTTTAATTTAACTCTGGTATCAGACAACTCCTAATTTAATCTCATTTTATTACGAATCTCTATTGTGGAGAATGTAAAATATGATAAATTATTACAGTCATCTATAACTCAACAATAATATACGAGGATTAAAATCGCGCTGTATCGCTCTCGCCTGATATATCGTAAAGAAATTTTAGACCAATCCGGTACAGAGATCATGTTACACTAAGAATTTGTAAATCAGTGTCGAACAAAGTTCGTTTCACGTTGCAGAATTCATGGAGGTCATGACAGGCTAAATTATCAGCTTGGCACGAGGCGGTCGTCCCTCGTGTTTGTCACCACGAAAACGCATACAAACGAGGCTACCGTCTGTCCTACACACGTGGAATATGCGATTTATCGAGACACTGTTGGCAAAGTATGATGTAAAAAGTTCGTAGGTGATGTCTATTAGGGAGGAGTAAGGGTAGATGCAGTTGAGAAAGTATTTTTGACGTGTGGGTCGCTTTTGGATTCACAATCGGCTAAAATGTATTTCTATCTATGCTGGGATTAAACGGATGAGTTTTCGCGGGTCTCTCGCGAGGCATGGTATGTATCTGGAAACAGGTTTATATCGACCGATATAAATTGTCGTTTCTACGTAATTATCACCGAGCAAAGTAGTTTCTAGTTTTGCTCATTATATGCCGACTAAGGGAAGATGAGAGATCGCGTGAAGCTTAGTGAAATGGAATTAGGTATTACTTATATTTAGAGATGAGTTTCTAATCTTTATACTTTGCCTACGAAACCTACGATCGTCTGTAACAGTCATAATACTCATAAACAATTGAGTATAATTGTAAAACCGTACATTTAAGATTAACGAAATTTACATAAGATTGTATGTATAATAAAAGTACAAAAAAATAGCAAACACAATTCGTGTAATTTATTTCTTCCTCTGTTATAATGTATATAATTGAATTATAAATTACATAATGCCATTAACACTTGAATTGCACAATTCTCCAATAAAGAAGAAAACTATTAACGATAAATCTTAATCCAATTAAAGATCCATTTATTTATTTGGACGTATACATTTATTTGGATTTAAATGAATATCCTAGGTTGAATATTCAGTCCCTTTTACGAGTTCTTAATATCACACAATACCCAATAATATTACCATTATCGAATTAAGTACCGTTACCTCGAAATCATATTATAAGGAATGCTTAAATCCGCTCGTGTAATAACACGTGTGCCCTCGAGTAAATATAGTTTTAAAATTAGCCCGTGCTAAAGAGCGCGTTAGTCATGATCGTTGAAAGAGCAAGGAATTTTCGCTAGGAACTGAACAATGTGTTGTGAAAGATGAAAACCGGCGCTAATACCCTCGAAATATAATGGCTAGCTCTAGGTGCATATTATGAGTGTATAATTAGCTTCCTAAGAATACGACGGATACGTTTACTACGTCGAATTGTCTCCGAAGATTGTGCAGGATATCATCATGAGCCAACTTCGTCTATTGTCGTGCCGTTTTTTCTCGACACATTGATCATGAATCGCGAGTTATAGAGTCGCGGAAGCTCTAGCGATAAAGGCTAGTGAGCGATAAAGGCTTGAGAGATTCTTGCGAAGCGAAGCTTTTACAGAATATAAAGGATTCTCCCTACGGCGAGTTATTACGCTGGCGGTCGCGATAAATATGGTGAATACCGATCGATGATGTAATTTCACATCGCGTGGATTGAATTATAAATAATTGAAACGTATCGAGGTTACTACAAAATTATGGTAAACAAGAGCATTGCGATGATTTGTTGAACATTGATATCTGTAATTACGCGTATGAGAAATAAAAAATTCTATATACAGTCGCCTCGGAAAATAAGTTAATGATCCCGTTAGAAGTTTAAATATAAGATAGTTAGTTTCCGAGGCAGCTGTATGTGATACCAAATTCACTCTTATTAAATTTCAGTGGAACTTTCATATTTATGTAGTCACGATTGTTGATAATTCTTTATAATGAACGTCAAATACGTAACGAGAGAAAACGAATCTTTTTCAATAA